AATACATAAATGTTTTTTCTTTATTGAGGGCTTTGCGACGCCATTAACAATCATGCTTTTTCTTTCTCTCTCTCTCCTTGTTTGTCTTCTCGTTCTTCAATCTCTAGGTTAAAGGTCCAAACATTGGAGTGATTGGTTCTGGCAAAGGGGCCGAGCTGGCATTTTCCAGGCTGCATCTCTAACACAACTACTGCCCTTACATGTGGTAGATTCATCCTGCCAGGACTGCCTTTCAACCTAGACAAAATCTCTGCCATGGATTCAGGAGTTTACGATGTTAAAGAAGCACTGGAGGACCCCTTGGACCCAGCCTACCGGGAAAGCCGTATCCCCCTTGAAAAAGCCAATGCCCATTTCCTTGTCATAGTTGGAGAGGATGACAGGCATTGGAAGAGTTCTGTTTATGCGGACATAGCTGTGAAGCACCTCACAGAGCATGGGAAGACGAATTTCACTCTTTTAAGCTACCCTAACGCTGGCCACAGAATAGATCCCCCTTACAGCCCTTTTTTCTCTGTATCACTGGATCCCGTGTTGGGAGTGCCCGTTTTGGGAGGTGGACAGCTCAAAGCTCATGCTGTTGCTCAGACTGAGTCTTGGAAGAAGATCTTGGAGTTTTTGCACTTGAATCTAGGGTAAAGTCTAACAAACTAGACAGTTAAGTTTAGAGTATGCACAGAATGAATTAAGGGATAGGTTGAATATTTTTAACAAGTGCTGAGTGAAATCTGGACTTCTCGCGGGCATCTGCAAGCTTTTAAAAGAAGTAAGAATACTTACTTCAAGTTCATCGGAGCCTGTAACTTTGGTTACTATCCATGTTTCTTCATGGTTGGTTGGTTTGAGCTTGAACTCAAGGTAATTGCTAAGTGAAAACCAGTTTTCTTTCTTTTTTTTTTTTTAAAGATTTTATTTATTTATTTGACAGAGAGAGACACAGCGAGAGAGGGAACACAAGCAGGGGGAGTGGGAGAGGGAGAAGTGGGCTTCCTGCCGAGCAGGGAGCCGGACGCTGGGCTTGATCTCAGGACCCCGGGATCATGACCTGAGCCGAAGGCAGATGCTCAATGACAGCCACCCAGGCGCCCCGAAAACCAGTTTCAATCTGTCATTTACCCACCTTTCCCACCTACCCTCCCTGTTACCTGTACTTCCAAAGGTTTTTAAAAACTGGTGTATGATAATTAGTTTGCTATTATGTGTCCCAGAGGTTCAAAACTGTTTTGAACAGGGGTGAATACATGAATATAGGTCCTTGGTTTTATGATGAGGAGCCACTGGGCTATGATAACTTTCTCATAATAGAGGCTGGAGTGAATTCTAACAAGATGATGCAGAGGCTAATTTGTGGTAGACTGAAGTCATAGAATCCTTTCTGTTGTTAATCAGGTTTCGATTTTTTTTTTTTTTCTAGTTGCCACCTGTTCTAGGATCTTTAAAGAAAGTTAGAAATCCTAAAACACTTGCTTTAAAACTGCGGCCAATTACTGAGAAACAATGATTCTTTACAGTTCCTTTATCTCTGTATTTGTACTTTAAAAAACTTTCCTTCAGACTTTGCTTCAAAAATATATTTAAAAATAGGCACATTCCAGTTCTCCTCCCAAGTTGATAATTACACAAGTAGACAATGTAATTATCTGAGGGAAAGACAGAGTTCATCCCTTTGACTTTCCACCACCCTCACCAAAACTTTAATTGCACTTTGTGGATGAGCCTTAATATATTAAAATAATTTTAATTGAAGTTCTGAGATTTGATCTTAAACTTTAAAAATATGTGTGGAATTAGAAAATGTTAAAAGTTCTGGCCTTCTCATAATTTAGTTTCAGTTTAGTGTTTTTTTCTTCCACATAATTGAAGGGAAAGATGAAAGTATTAATTATCAGCCTTTGATTTTGGTTGATCAGTGGATCTTGTCAGAACTATATTTTGGGCTCTTGGCAGAGGATGAAGTGTTGTCACCCTAATTTGTAGTACTAATGGTTTCCCTCCCCCAAATTAACATTATTTTTAAAATGTAATACATGTTTCAAATTCTTTTTTTTTAAGATTTTATTTATTTAATTAACAGAGAGAGAGAGAGACACAGCGAGAGATGGAACACAAGCAGGGGGAGTGGGAGAGGGAGAAGCAGGCTTCCCGCCAAGCAGGGGGCCTGATGCGGGGCTCGATCCCAGGATCCTGGGATCATGACCTGAGCCGAAGGCAGTTGCTTAACCAACTGAGCCACCCAGGTGCCCATAATCCACAGTTTTGAGTAAAAGGCATACTCTGTTAGGTTATAAGATATGTTCAAGGATTAAATTCCCATTTCAGCCACATCAACAAAACTGGTGGAGATTTGGCAGCCAGGATAAATTCTAGTTTGGAGAGGTGTGGAGGTGTGGAGATCTGAAACAAAACAAAACACTACAAGAAAAAAGCCTGGATATATTATGAATACCCATTTTATTTTTTTAACTTTTATTTTTTAAAAAGATTTTATTTATTATTTGTCAGAGCACAAGCAAGGGGAGTGGCAGGCAGAGGGAGAAGCAGGCTCCCCACTGAGCAAGGAGCCCTAAAGAGGGACTTGATCCCAAGACCCTGGGATCATGACATGAGTTGAAGGCAGATGCTTAACTGACTGAGCCACCCAGGCACCCCTATGAATACCCATTTTAATTTTCTTTAATAAACTATTTAGTTTTTCCTGTTTTTTAATAAATATGATAAAATTACCTTTTTCAAAATGGAATTTGTTATTTCAAAATTTAAAATATCCACATTGCAGGGGCTCCTGTGTAGCTTAGTTGGCTAAGGGTCAAACTCTTGGTCTCAGCTCAGGTGTTGATCTCAGGGTCGTGAGTTCAAGCCCCATGTTGGCCTCCATGCCTGGTGTGGAGCCTATCTAAAAAAAATATATATATATATATTTATATATATATATTTACATTTATATTTAATTTATATTTATATTTATATACATATATATATATTTTTCCACATTGCAGAATAGAATAATCAGAAAATAGAGAAGCAAAATGAACACTGTATTAGTCTGCTCAGGCTGCCGTAACAGAATACCACAGACTGGGTGGCTTAAACAACAGAAATTTATTTCCTCACAGTACTGGAGGCTGGAATTCCAAAATCAAGATGCTGACAGTGTTAGTTTTGGGTGAGGCTTCTCTTGTTGATTTGCAGATGACCATCTTCTTTTTTTTTTTTTTTAAGATTTTATTTATTTATTTGAGAGAGAGAATGGGAGAGAGAGCACGAGAGGGGGGAGGGTCAGAGGGAGAAGCAGACTCCCTGCTGAGCAGGGAGCCTGATGCAGGACTCGATCCTGGGACTCCACGATCATGACCTGAGCTGAAGGCAGTTGCCTAACCAACTGAGCCACCCAGGTGCCCGAAGATGACCATCTTCTTACTGTGTCCTTGGATGGCCTTTCCTCTGTGACCACCACTCCTAGTATATCTATTCCTCTTATAAGGACATCAGTTATATTGGATTAGGGCCCCACTCTTATGGCCTCATTTAACTGATATTACCTCCTTAACAGCCCTTTTTCCAAATACAGTCACATTAGAGTTAGAGCTTCAACATATGAATTTGAATGAGGGGGATACAATTCAATCTGCAGCAAACATTAGACCCTCATAATATTCTTTTAGATATATGTTATGTATAAATGTGTGTACAGTATATATATTTTTTAGATTTATTTATTTGAGAGAGAGAGAGAGTTCGTGCACAAGTGGGAGGAGGGGCAGCGGGAGAGAGAGGGAGAGGGAGAGAATCCAAAGCAGGCTCCATGCCCAGGATGAGCTCCACCACCCCAGATCATGACTTGAGCCAAAATCAAGAGTAAGAGGCTTAACGGACTGAGCCACTCAGGCACCCCTGCAGTATATCATTTTTAAGAAGATTATACCAACAATTTTGTTTGGTAACTTGCATTTTAAATTAGTACATCATGACTGCATGTGAATAGATGCATTTCAGCAACATTTTTAATGGAAGTATATTATTTCATCGTTTGGGTGTTTGATAATATCAATTCTTTTTTTCCTTGACATTTGGGTTTTCTTTTTGCTATTAAAACTTTGAACATAAATCTCTGTGCACTTGTCTGATTATTTCTTCAGGATGAAGTCCTAGAAGTGGAACTGCTGGGTCACAGAGGTGCACACGTTTTTAAAGCTTTTAATACTATTGCCAACAGCTCTCCAGAAAGGCTGTTAATTATAAACAGCAGTGTATATACGCATCCGCATTTATCCATACCTCTAGCAACTCAATATTTTTGTCTAATTTAATAGAAGGGGAAGAGGGAGACATCTCGGTTATATAAAACCAGCATTTTATGCTTTAATTCGCCTCTGGCTCCCTTGAGGGGTTGGGGGAAGGCAACCAAGGAAATTCAGCTGAATTTAGTTTCAGTCAGACTACAGGTGAATCACAGTAGGTGGAGGGGATGCGGAGGGGCAATCTACAGGAGAAGGGAATTTTTAAAGTTATTTTATGGGAAAGACAATTTTTATTATTATTATTTTTTAAGATTTTATTTATTCATTTGAGACAGAGAGATAGAGAGAGAGCATGAGCAGGGGGACAGACAGAGGAAGAGGGAGAAGCAGGCTCCCGTTGAGCAGGGAGCCGGATGTGGGGCTCGATCCCAGGACTCTGGGATCATGACCTGAGCCAAAGGCAGACGCTTAACCGTCTGAGCCACCCAGGCATCCCGGGAAAGACAATTTTTATAGCGAGGTTTTAAAGTTTTAAACTTTAGGCAGATACCTCACTGCAGATCGGCTGAAATTGCTTTCGGTAGAAAGCATCTCCTGACCACTCTGCGCGGTTAAGCTCTCGCATCCTGCGAACCGCAGCTACTGGGACGCCAGCGGCCGATGGGCCGGAGGACCGAGGCGGCCGCCGCGCGGTCCCACAATGCCCCGCACGCGCCACCCTGAGGGCGGAGAGAAAGGACCGCTGCCGGGGGGTGGGATCCGCGGAGGGCTCCGAGAAGTGCGCACGCGCACTGACCTCGGCGGGCCCTAGCAACCGGAGCAGTGACAGTAGCAACGGCCGGAATGGTGAGTACCTTCTAGGCCTCATAGTCAAAGAGGAGAGGAGATTGGAGATGGAAAAGGGTGACTGTGGCGTGTTGAGGGTTGGGGGGGTTCTCGATTAGCGGAAGGAAGCCGGTAACGGACGCTAGCTCTGCAGTCAGAGGCCTGAGGCGAAAGAGAAGCCCTGGCACCGGGTGGTCTGGGGTGAGGGCGGCCTGGGGCGGATTGGGGGTTGGTTCATGTGGAGGGACTCTGACAGAGAAAGGGGGCGCAAAGAGCAGAAATTTCTCCAAAAAGAGCGGATTAGAGTGGGAAAGGTGATGGAAGGCAGAGTGTGAATAAGGATATTTCTGGACATGGAAATAATTTTCCCCCCGGTGAGACGGGGCGCGGGGAGTGTGTGTAACACCGAGTGCAGCTGTATTCCTAACCTGTGAAGTGCCCAAGTTGTCCTCTGAATGACTGTAAGTGCAGTTATTAGGTAGCATTGTAAAGCCCACTCGGATAGAATATATTAGGATAGCGTTTCTCAGATTTTATGGATAAATATAGTCGGCTGAAGATTGAGCTTGCTGGAATGCAGATTATGAAATTTTAATATAATGGGATTCGCGAACGTGCATTTCGACAGTGCACCTCAAGTGATTCAAAAATTGGAGGGCGTCCCACCACACTTTGAGAAATACTGCTACCTTGGATTTGAAATCTATCAGTGATCTATCCAATCAAAGCCTTTTATGAAGTAGTGATTTTTACCTACTGATGCTCCTCAACTCCTACTTAAAATGTGCAGTTTTGCTTACAGATTTGGTAGTTCCACCTAGTAGTTTGAAAGGGATGTTGTTGGTTGATTACAGACCCAGTCAAAGTTGTTTTAGCGATGTATGTGATTGTCCTGCCTGATGGGGATGTTTATGAAGAATAAGTATAATTAGTTGTCTTTTTGTGATTCCAGTGCTGTTTAAGTGGGCAGAAATTGAGCCCAGGAAACTGAAATGATGAAGTCTGTGCCTGCCCTCAACCACAAGATTAAATACCACTCTTTTATTTTTTTAAAAAGATTTCATTTATTTATTTGAGAGAGAGAATGAGATATATATATAGAGAGAGCATGGAGGGGGGAGGTCAGAGGGAGAAGCAGACTCCCTGCTGAGCAGGGAGCCTGATGCAGGACTCGATCCCGGGACTCCAGGATGACCTGAGCCGAAGGCAGTCGCTTAACCAACTGAGCCATCCAGGCACCCCATAAATATCACTCTTTTAAAAGTTTCCCCCCACACTTTCCTTACTTTATTCCACAGGCATTTATCTGAAAACCACTGCCAAAGAAAATAAAAAGTTCTGGAACCTAGGTTTATATTCAGGTGAAGAAATAATCAGTCCTAAATGATTCTGAAAGCATGATCCAGGAGAATTACTGAAAATCTTCAAATAGAGAATCAGAACCAGTAATTAGATGAAGCTAACTAAGTCTGGAAACTGGTAGTTCCAGAGCCCTCGAGAAATCAGGCCAACATAGTTTTTTAATTAACAAAACATTAGCCTCTGGGGCGCCTGGGTGGGTCAGTCAGTTAAGCGTCTGCCTTCAGCTCAGGTCTTGATCCCAGCATCCTGGGATCAAGCCCAGTGTTGGACTCCCTGCTCAGCAGGGAGTCTGCTTCTCCCTCCCCCTGCTCTTGTGCTCTTGCTCTCTCTCCCTCTCAAATAAATAAATAAATAAATAAAATCTTTATTAAAAAAAAAAACAAAACCCTTAGCTTTCATTGTCTTTAAATGATTGTATTTTGTATTTCACATCAAAACCCAGATTTATGGCCTCTCTGAAAAATGAGAAATACCATATTTCACCACTGTACACATTTTTGCCCCATTTTTGTATTACTAAAATATGGTGGTGTCATATAATTGGCAGCATCTTTTCATTCTTAATGGTACATAAAATAAGGGTGTTATTTTCAATAATGGAGTTTTAATATTTGAAGAAATCTTATCCCAAGTCCCACCTGCCTGCTGTTTTCTAATGCCAGAGTAGAGGTTATCCTCTTTATATGGCCAGCTTTACCCATTAAAGATGTCCATTGGTTCCCTAGGCATTTCAGTTTGTTTTTTTTTTTTTAAAGATTTTATTTATTTATTTGACAGAGCACAGCGAGAGAGGGAACACAAGCAGGGGGAGTGAGAGAGGGAGAAGCAGGCTTCCGGCGGAGCAGGGAGCCCGATGCGGGGCTCATCCCAGGACCCTGGGATCATGACCTGAGCCAAAGGCAGAACTTAATGACTGAGCCACCCAAGTGCCCCAAGGCATTTCAGTTTTTGACTTCTGCTATCTCTAGGGGAACTAGAAACCTCATAAACCAACTTGTAGACAGCTAGATTGCTTCCAATTTGAAAGTATTCTTATATGTATCTCTTCATGGACCCATACAGGGATTTTTCTGGGAAATCTATGCACAGGTGGGATTTCAGAGTCATAGGGCCTATGCATACTTAATTTCCTTAGGCACTCTCAGACTGCTTTCCAGAATGGCTCTGCTAGTTTGTTTTGTTTTGATTTTAAGTAAGCTTTACCCCCAACATGGGTCTTGAACTCACCACCCTGAGATCAAGAGTTGTATGCTCTGCTGACTGAGCCAGCCAGGCACCCCTGGCTCTGCTAGTTTTTACTTCGTTCAGTAATGCATGAGAGTTCTACATTCTCACCAAATTTGTAACTTTTGCCAATCTGAGGATGTATTTTAGTATTCCATTGTTTTACTCTTCATTTCTCTGATTTTCAGTGAGTTCCAATACCTCATGATATTGTTAGTCATTTGGATTTCAGTTTCTATGAATTCTGTTTATATTTTTTGTTAATTTTTTCGATGTTTTTGTTTTTTGAATTTTAGGAGTTCCTTCTATATTCTCTGTTAGTCTTTTGTTGGTTTTATGTTGAAAATATCTTCTCCCAACTTTTTTGTTAACTCTCTCAACAGTGTTCTTCACTTGCTGAATTCTATTTGTTCTATTTGTCAGTTTATTCTATTGTGTTTTCTATGTAGATGATCATGTGAGCATAGTGAGTTTTATTTCTTCCTTTTAATCATTCCAATTTGTATTTTCTTTTATTATAACATTGATAAAGATCTCTTGTACCATGTTAAACAGTAGCAATGATAGTAAGGATCTTTGATATATTTGGGATCTTAAAGAGAATACTTCTAGTGTTATCTTCCCAATTTGGCTCTTCTTGACCACCTTATTTAAAATAAACATGCTCTACACACATAAACACACATCCTGATACCTCTTACCAAATTCAACATTTTTGTTTTTGTTTTGTATTTTCTTCTTCCTTAGTAATTGTCACCTTCTAATATACTATATAATTTATTTATTCATTAAATATATTATTTACCATCTGTCTCCCGCCAGTAGATGTAAGTTACACGAAGGCAGGGATCTTTGTTTTGTTCATTGATATATCCCAAGCATGTAAAAGTATGTTTGGTACGTAGTAGACACTTAATGAGTATTTGCTGAAATGAATGAATTTCTTCATTAAGTATGATGTTTGCTATAGCTTTTTGGTATGTAGCTTTTATCAAGTAGGGAATTTCCTTGTAACTCTTAGTTGAGAGCTTTTAATATTAGATGTAGAACTTTATATATATATTTTTTAACATTTTATTTATTTATTTGACAGAGTGAGAGAGTGCACAAGCAGGGGGAGCGGCAGACAGAGGGAGAGGGAGAAGCAGGCTGTGGGAGAGGGAGGGGTTGATCCCAGGGTTCCAGGATCATGACCTGAGCTGAAGGCAGAGGCTTAGCTGACAGAGCCATCCAGGCGCCCCAGATGTAGAACTATTTTATAAAGTACTTTTTCTTCACTTTACTGAAATAAATGTGATTTCCTCCTCTTTAATCCATTAATAGATGATTTACATTTATAGGTTTTTTTTGTTAAACAATCCTTATGCTCCTGGGATCAGCCATTCTCGATCACGATTATTATTAACCATTGGCTTTGGAGATCTAATGTTGTATCTAGGATTTTCAAATCTGTGTTGAGAAGTAAAGAGGGCCTCTTATCTCTTTATGACATCAAGGTTATTCTAGCCTCATAAAATAAACTGGCAGCTTTCCCTCCTTTCCTGGTTTCTGAAATAACTTGTCTAACAGGGAATATCTGTTCCTTGAAAACTTGGCAGAATTTACTTGTAAAATTATCTAGGCTTAGAGATGTAGGAGAAGAGAGTAAGAGTAAATCTCTGATTATCTTTTTAACATTTAAAATAGTTATTGGTCTATTCATATTTTCTGATTCTTCCTGTGACAGTTTGGCACTTTTGTGTTTTATTTTCTAGAAATGCATTCTTTGTCTAGGTTTTCAAACTTACTACCGTATATTTGCTTATAATATTTTATTTTTAAGTCCTTGTGGTATCTGTTATGTTTGATTCTATGTTTTTGTCGTACAGCTAGCTCTCTTTTCTCTCAGTCAGGCTTGCTAGAGATTTAGGAACCAACTTTTAGTTTTGTTAATCTTTTTTTTCTTCAGGTCTGTTTTTCATTGACTTACTCCTTTGTATTTTTTTTAGCCTTCTTTGTGTTAGCAATGACATGCTTTTTCAAATATCTCAAATGCTTAGCTTATTTGTTTTCTGTCTCTTATTTTCTCTTATTTTTGAATAAATAAATATATTTGAAACTATAACTTTCCTTTTAAATGTTATATTCCTCAAATTTTGATATTTTTTCTTTTATTGTTTTACTATAGTTTATAGTTTATTTTTTTTTATTAAAGATTTTATTTATTTATTTGAGAGAGAGCGCAAGCACACAAGCAGGGGGACGGGTAGAGGGAGAAGCAGACTCCTCGCCAAGCAGGGAGCCTGATGTGGGACTCGATCCCAGGACCCTGGGATCATGACCTGAGCTGAAGGCAGACACTTAACTTGACTGAGCCACCCAGGTGCCCTATAGTTTACTTTTTAACCCAAGGATTATTTATCATTGTGTCTTTGCTTTCTAGACATAATGACATATACAGTTGAGCAACATAGGTTTGAACTGCACTGATCCACTTACATGCAGATTTTTTTCAATAAATACACTGCAGGGGTGCCTGGGTGGCTCAGTCGGTTAAGTGGCTGCCTTTGGCTAAGGTCATGATCCCAGGGTCCTGGGATCGAGCCCCACATTGTGCTCCCTGCTCAGCGGAGAGCCTGCTTCTCCCTCTCCCAATGCTGCTCCCCCTGCCTGTGCTCTCTCTTTCTCTCTCAAATAAATAAAATCTTTTTTTTTTTTAAGATTTTATTTATTTGAGAGCGAGAGAGGGAACACAAGCAGGGGAAGTGGGAGAGGGAGAAGCAGGCTCCCCGCTGAGCAGAGAGCCCGATGTGGGGCTTGATCCCAGGACCCTGGGATCATGACCTGAGCCGAAGGCAGACACTTAACGACTGAGCCACCCAGGTGCCCCATAAATAAATAAAATCTTAAAAAAAAAAATACACTGCAATACTGTAAATGTATTTTCTCTTATGATTTTTTTTCTTTTTTTAAAAATTTATTTTAGAGAGAGAGAGAGAGCCTGTGAGCCAGAGGAGGGGCTGAGAGGGAGGGAGAATCTTGAGCAGACTCCACACTGAGCCTAATATGGGGCTCCATCTCACAACCCTGAGATCATAACCTGAGCCAAAACTAAGAGTTGGACACTTAACCTATTGAACCACCGAGGCACCCCTCTTATGATTTTCTTAATAATATTTTCTTTTCTCTAGTTTACTTTATTGTAAGAATATAGTATATAATGCATATAACATGCAAGATATGTATTAATCAAATGTTTATGTTATTGGTAAGGCTTCAGGTCAATAGTAGGCTATTACTAAAGTTTTTGGCGAGTCAGAAGTTATACTCAGATTTTTGACTGTGTTGCAGGGGGTGGGGGTGGGGAGGTTGGTGTCCCTCATGCCTGTCTCGTTGGAGGCTCAACTGTATTTTTAAACTTTTCCTTTTGGTATTGTTTAGGATTTTTTTTTTTAAATGAACTCTAGCGTAATTCAAAGGATGTCTTCCTTTTCTCACATTTAATGTTTTAAGTGTCATATTAAATTGAATCTAAGATACTATTGATTATAAGGTGCAACATTATTTTATGTTCTAAGAAAGAAAAATAAGAAGTTGGAATTAAACCATAACAAGTAATTTCTTATCACTTAGAATTTTTGTTTTGTACCTATTGACAGAGGTTTTGTTTTTTTTTTTTTTACTGGATCATAAGTTAATTTAAAAAAATTTTTTTATTGTTATGTTAATCACCATACATTACATCATTAGTTTTTGATGTAGTGTTCCATGATTCATTGTTTATGTATAACACCCAGTGCTCCATGCACAACGCGCCCTCCTCAATACCCATCACCAGGCTAACCCATCCTCCCACCGCCCCCCCAGACCCCTCAGTTTGCTTTTCAGAGTCCGTCGTCTCCCATGGTTCATCTCCCCCTCCAATATCCCCCCCTTCATTCTTCCCCTCCTGCTATATTCTTCTTCTTTTTTTTTAACGTGTATTATTTGTTTCAGAGGTACAGATCTGTGATTCAACAGTCTTGCACAATTCACAGCGCTCACCATAGCACACACCCTCCCCAATGTCTATCATCAAACCACCCCATCCCTCCCGCCCCCCACCACTCCAGCAACCCTCAGTTTGTTTCCTGAGATTAAGAATTCCTCGTATCAGTGAGGTCATATGAATGGATAAAGAAAATGTGGTATATATATACGACAGAGTTCTTTTAAATGTATTTAGGCATGTAGATTTTTATCATATGTCATTCTTTGCAAAGGAATATATGTATATGAAATAAAATGGTTAATATTTTTCTAGGTCATCACCACTGCCACCTGGCCACAGTAATTGTAAATTGTTCCTGGTTTTAAAATGCATCCAAATTTCAAAGATGTTAAAATGTACAAGATGTAGATCTTAGAATCAATGAAATGAGATCTATTTTAATATCAAATGTTGAAAGCTATATTTTTTTTGTAAACCAAGTGGGAGTGAAGTATATGGGCATTACATCATGATTTCCTTAATTTCTCTGAGAGGCATTTAAATAAATCATCCTGATTTCAGGAAATTAAAACACTCAGTTTGCATATAAAGTCTCAAAGAAAAAAGTTAATCTTTTCAATGGTAGATGCCGAGGCTAATAATCATTGCATGAAAACTGAATCAACAAATCATACCAATAAAGACACTCTTGTTTCTTCTCTTTTTAAGGCAAAAGCAACAACAATCAAAGAAGCTCTAGCCAGATGGGTGAGTATATGAATTTTTACCTCTTTTAGAAACCATACAAGGAGAATTATTGGATAGTTATTTAAATCTGACCATTCAGTACAAGGAATCTTTGGGGTACTGGAACTATTTAGCTGTCTTGACTGTGGTGTTGGGTACGTGAACCTATATAGGTGATAAAATTGTATACACTTAATACACACATAGAAACACATTCATACTCGTGTATAAATGAGTACTAGTAAAACTGGGAAAGTCTGATTAAAATCAGTGGATTATATCAATATGAATATCCTACATATCCATTAGTGTGTAAATGGATAAAAAAATTGTATATATACAGAGTGGAATATTATTCAGCCACAAAAAAGGAAGGAAATCCTTCCATTTATGACAACATGGATGGACTTTGAGTGCATTATGCTAAATGAAATCAGACAGAGAAAGACACATACTCTATGATCTCACAGATACGTAAAATCTAAAAAAGCTGAACTCAGAAACAAAGAGTAGAATGGTGATTGCCAGGGACTGGGGTGTGGGGGAAATGGGGAGATGTTGGTCAAAGGGTACAAACATCCAGTTATAAGCCAAGTCCTGGGGATCTAATATACAGCATGGTGACTATAGTTAATAATATTGCATTATATACTTGAAAGCTGCTAAGAGAGTGGATCTTAAAAGTTCTTAGCACCAAAAACAAAAAAAAATTAGGTGATGGATGTGTTAGCTAACCTTATTGTGTTAATCATTTTATAATATATACATGTATAAAATCATCACCTTAAACTTATACAATGTTACATGTCAGTAAAGCTGGAAAAAAATCCTACAGCATATACTAACATAAGAAAGGAAACTGCATTATAAAAAACATGAATTGAATATAAACTATAAATATTTTGAATAAAACATTCTATAAAGTTTGAACAGTTGTAATTCAGCATCATAAATAGAATTTCCATAGAGTATAGAGATAGTGCCTCAATTTCTATGCCAAGTGATAACTTTTTTGTGGATATTATCAATAGTTTTTTGTATAATAATGTATCTTTTGCTTTTGAAGCTGAGCTTTGAATCAAAAGTCTTTCAGGAGGCTTGATGTCTAGGGAAAATAGGGTGGATAGGATAATGAAATATTTGAATTCTTGTTTTAGTGCTTATAAACTTCTTTGTACTTTGCATTTAAAAAATCTATTTCTGTTTGGTTAATGAAAAATCTGTTTTGTTAAAGAAGAAAAGTAAATATGGAATAAATTTAGTATTAGATTTTCTTTGAATCAGATTTTAGGTCTTTATTTACTTAAAATAATAAGTGGTTGCTTTTTTGTTTTGCATTGTAGGTTCTATTTCTAGATTATATTGTGGCCATAAATCGTTGACTTTAAGATTATTTGAAGACATTAAGCTCACTCTTTCACTGATTAAGCTAACATTTATTGAGGATCTACTATGTATCCGTTCCCCTCTTATAACCTACAAATGTATGACACAAAAATAAGTACTGAGTGGATGTGTATTAGATATTTTTCTTTCAACTTATTGTGTATTTTCTTTTTCTGTTTTTTTAATTATGTATTTTCTAGTATTGACATGTTATGATTTGATTTTTAAAAACAAGCCTCTGTGTGTCTTATAGTGCACTATGTTATAGAAAATACAGGAAAGCAAAGGAAATGGGCCCTTCACTTTAGGAGCTTCCTGTTTTGTTGGAGAGAGAGAACTAACTTTAAGTATTGAGGTACTTCAAAAATATTATTAGGCAGCATATATTGGTAATTAAATTTTAAATTGTGTACATAGTACTGAAAATCTGAGATAGAGTTTAAGTAATAGTAGAACAAATAGCTTTGACCTCAGCTGTGTTGTAAGGATGTTATCTTCCAGAATTCTTGGCATTTTGGGGTTCTATCTCAGACTGAACTGTGTATAGAAAAAGCAAGAGGAGGGATGCCTGGGTGGCTCAGTCGGTTAAGCATCTGCCTTTGGCTTAGGTCATTATCCTAGTGTCCTGGGATTGAGTCCCGCATGGGGCTCATTGCTCAGCGGGGACCCTGCTTCTCCCTCTGCCTGCCGTTCCCCCTGCTTGTACTCTTTCTGGCAAATGAATAAATAAAATTGAAAAAAAAAAGAAAAAGCAAGACGAGATGACAAAATAGTTGATCTTATAGATCTAAATCTGATATTTAAGAAAAGGGTTCTTAGGGACAAAGAATTCTTCCCAAGATGGGGTGCCTGGGTGGCTCAGTCTGTTGGGCAACTGCCTTCGGCTCGGTCGTGATCCCAGAATCCTGGGATCGAGCCCTGTATCGGGCTCCCTGCCCGGCGGGGAGCCTGCCTCTCCCTCTCCCTCTGCCTGCT